TATGAAATAGACCAGTAACATATTAGGATTTCCGGTTGGATATCCGAAAATGATAGCTTGCACGTTCTCCTTTTTTATCTGCACCAAAAATAAGTGTAACAGATTAGACAATGTATAAGTGCAACAGATTAGACAATGTTTTGTAAGATGTTATAAAACAAGAAAATAAACATGGTAAGCAATTACCAACTCAGCAACGGCCTTCATGTGGGCTTTACTTGGTGATACACCAGTCCCTTTCTCCCATGTCGTGCTGTCGATTATCAATGTCCTAGACTCCTAGGTAGTAATGTTTATCTTTTAAAAAATGCTTTTCCATTAAGATGTTTAATAGAGAATGATATAAAAACGTAAATCGGAATTTACTCGAGAGGTGAACAATCGGGTTTGGGGGGCCCGCGGTGGAGGACGCGAAACCATCAAACTTGGTTCCGACATCAATTCCGAGGATGCAGGGGTTTCTCTGATGGTGTTTCCTCATCTTCATTCTTGGTTTCGGACATGGATGTGGGCTTGTCGAAAACATGGGAAATTTTGCAGGTTTCGTTAGCAGCACCAAGCTTATGCATCACTTGTCTGAATAGGGGTAGCAGTTTAAGTCCTTTCATCTATATGTGTGAAAGCCCAAAATTAAACAATAAACTGAAAATACCAATCCGAATCTAAAATAGAGAAATTAAAATCACAAAAAACAATGATGATAATCCGAATCCAAAATGAAACCTGCAAAATTGTGCAGGTCTAATACCAATCCGAATCTAAAATGGAGAAACTAAAATTACAAAAAAAATGATGATAATCCGAATCTAAAATGAAACCTGCAAAATTGTGCAGGTCTAATACCAATCCGAATCTAAAATGGAGAAACTAAAATCACAAAAAAAACAATGATGATAGTTTGAATCTAAAATGAAACCTGCAAAATTTCTAAAATGGAGAAAACTAAAATCACAAAAATGGACCCGGATCTAATATGGAGAAACTAAAATCACAAACAAAAAAACAATGATGATAGTTCGAATCTAAAATGGAGGTGATCTATAAAATCAACAAACAATGGCGATTTATAAAATCAATAATCACTAAAGCTGAATTTGTAGTTGATATAATCCGTATCTTGAATGGAAATGGAGATGCTTCGAACGGGATCTTAAATGGAAATGGAGATGCTTCAAAAGAGATTCTCTAAAATCAATAATGACTTACCTTTTACCAGCAGAATACAGTACAGATGCAGATCCTTGGAAACAATTGTAGAAGATGACTTGTTGATAATTTAAATTTTGCTCTAAAATCGATTATCACTTGCCATTTCACCCCCCGCTTTCAACTAATTCTCCCGTATTTTGTTGGATAAACGGTGGACCCTAGATAACCAAATTTTTTAAATGATTTCTCCCACATGTTTTTTAAAACATCTTTTAAATAAAAAAAAATTGTGTCAAAATACACTTTGAGAGTGTGCTTTGTTAAAAGAACCAAATTTTTTACATGCTTGACTTCAAATTTGATTTTTCTAAAAATTGTTTTAAACTATTTTAAGAGCATTTGGTAGGGATGTTGGCGCGGGGTAGGGGTGGGGGTAGATGGCAAGCCAGTGGCGGCGGACGGTGGAGTAAGGGATAGCCTCCCCCAACCAAATGGACCCTGAGTCAATCCCCTTGTATGTTCTCGCACGCGCACTTATGCATGAAGCCTAAAAACGAAAACAATGCACTACTTAACTGTGCGGGTAGCAGCACTCCAACAACCACCATTGTCGCTGCCACCGCCACCTTTATCATCACCATCACCGGCTTCATAACCACCCACAATATACTTGCTTTTTCTTCAATTTTGCATTTCATTGTTTTAGTGCAACATTGCCGACCATTACACTATTTCCATTCTTCTCTTAGTGCAACATTGCCGATTATGTTTTCCACAAAAAAAGTTTTTCCAGTGCCTCTGTATCCATAGACAAAAAACATTTTACCAACTTTGGCTAGTACGACTTCTATAATGATAGAGTACACATTGTGTTGTTCAATATTCATTTGAGATAGCACCCTTGCATGTTCTTCAAGCAATGCTCTTTTATCGTAGCACAATTCATCATTTATAAGTCTGTTTTCAAACATTTGAATGTATTGAGCACCGGGATATGACATGTTATGGAACTCTTTCAAACTCTTTTCAAAACTACGTAACTAAGATTCAATCTATGCAAGGGCATAGTTTTTAATTTCAACTTTTGAAAGGCGCAAACTTACATTAAAAAAGTACTTATATAAGGTATTATTTTAGTAGGATTAAAAAAATGACATGATTAATATTATGTACCGGGATAATGCAAGACTACATGTTGCCGATAAAGAATATCATCTGACAAATAAGTCTAACATATTTCCCAAACATCCTCAGGTCGTACTAAACACCGTGATGCCAAAAGAGTTGCAAATAAATTTCGTAAAGATCTTTCGGATGACCAATTGCTAGCCTCAATAATGGCATCAATATATTCCTTGTCATCGTCTACCAAACCTAGGGCACAACATGCATCACGAAATGTTGAATAAACACTGTCGTTGACAGTTCTAATATCCTCGAAGCTACGTGGATCTCTGACTAAATTAAAAAGACATCGTAAATAATATACTTCTTTAGAAGTTGGTGGAACATAGTACATTCGACCAATTGAAAATCTTTTTTTACGGGGCACCCACGTCCTTTCATCCTTTATCCAAACAAACTTCGCAGGGAATTCAGCATATCTTTTTTTTATGAATTTAATATAGTTGAAAATAGTTAAAAATAAAAATTTGATATTTCAAAACTATATTTAAAATAACCTAGATTTACTAAATTTATGATATAACTAAATATACTTTTTTCATAATTTTCGGTCAGAGTGCCACAGTTTATCAAAAAAGTTAAACTGTAGTAATTTTTTAGGAATGGAGAAGGTATCTAATTACATCAACATTATTTTTATAAATTACATTGGTATTACAATTTACCTAGTGCTAGTTTTATCGGTGCAACTGATCACGACACACTAAAAAGTGGAGCCCATTATTATTAAGCCTAAGGAAATGTTTGAAGAGAACTCTTTACAAAATGTGAAAGACGTCTATGTAAACAATATTAGTAGTTGCGCAGGTAGTTTGTCTTCGTTGCAAGTTAAAATATTTCGGACATGTTTGGGAATAGCGTTAGCGATTAGCGTTAGCGTTTTGAAAAGGCTGAGCAGCGTTTAGCGTTAGCATTTTCAAAGTAATCTGTCACTTTGGACATTCGGGCCGGGTATAAGTTATACTCATCAAGGAGTTCTCCACTTACCGGTATTGTGTGGAATCATCAAAGGCGGGAAGTATATTTTTGTTGGCCCGTCACTTTTGGAATTATCATGTACCTTTCTTGACCTGTCATTTTGGAAACATAAGTCTTCCTCTCGGACCTGTCACTTTTAAAATCATCAAGTTTTTCTCTCAAACTTATCACTTTTGAAATCATCAAGTCTTCTCCTCGGACATGTCATTTTTGAAATTTTCAAGCCTTCCTCTCGGACCTGTCACTTTTGAAATCATCAAGTCTTCCTCTCGGACCTGTCCCTTTGATTCGAGTAGTCTAAGCATCAAACCTGGCGCTCTGAAGTTTCCCCCAAGCCTGGAAATTTCAATTTTTCCCCCAAGCCTGGCGCTTTGAAGTTTCCCCCTAAGCCAGGAAATTTGAATTTTCCCCCAAGCCTGGCGCCTTGAAGTTTCCCCCCAAGCATGGAAAGTTGATTTTTTCCCCCAAGCGCTTTGAAGTTCCCCCAAAACCCTTCACCTTCTGAATTCAAATATCAAATGTTTCCCTCTCATCATTACGCCCTACACGTGTCAAGTCCTCAGCCTTTCACCTGTCGTCTCGTATTCCGGCCCAACTCCTTCCCTCTTATAAATACTCCTTCAACCCACTCCATTTCTTCACTTCTCTTCTTCGCTTCTCGAACTTCAACCGGTATGCTTTCTCTCTCTAGCTTCTTGCCAAGTAAGTTGCCCAGTCCTCCTAGTCTTTATTCTTTTAATCTTTCCATCCTTGACCGGTAGGCTAGTGCTATGTCGTCCTCTAACGATAGTCAAAATGTGTCCGGCCAATCCTATGGGTCGGGCTCTCAGCCCTCCTCCTCTGCCCAGTCTGATTCATCTTCTCCCCCTCCCACTCCTCTAATCCGTCGCTCCTCCCAAAAGCCTAGCTCTTAGGCCCGGGAAATAGTTGTCCAGGAGCATGTTCCCTTAAATCGAATGCCCGATCAGTTTAACTCAAAGGTCCACACCTGGGAGGAATGGGAAGAGCGGCTCGGATCAATGAGCTTCCTAGCCATTGATATCAGACCGGTATTCAAAACATCTTCCAAGGTCACTAAAAAGGTTTTGGCTGATGTCTGCTCTTTTCTCCCACCGGGCTACATCCTCCCTTCCAAAACCGTGTGGCCTAATATAGTAGAACCCCATCAAGGAACCCGGTTGGGTTTCCATATTGCTTCTCTGGAGGGTGGTATAATTTTCCCCCTTCGTCCCCTCCTTATCGAAATCTATAACAAGTTTCGCGTGTTACCCGGTCAGCTCACTCCTAATGCCCACCAGTTTTTAAATTGTTTTGTCAATATCTGCGATTCTCTAAAAATCAAACCTTCCCTCCAACTCTTCCTTCATATGTTTGATGTCTTGCCCGGGGGTACTAATTGCCCGGACTTAATTTACTTCCACTCCCGTAACAAGAGAGGATATGTGGCCGGTCTTCCCCCAAGTCACAAAAAGTGGAAACAAAAATTTATTTTCATTGAATCCCCCCCCCCCCCCGAGCAATTTCCCTTCCCTAATCTTCAATGGGCAGGATAGAAAAACCTGAGCCGGAGCCTACTCCCGAGCTGGAGAATGCCTGCGAGAAACTTCTCAAGGGTGATCCTGTGACCGGGAAACCTTACACCTATGGTGGCTCGGTATACCAGTTACCCAACCCGAATGAGGGTAGGTCTGCGACCCATGATGCAGAAGATGACCGGGTCAATCCCCCGGATAGTCATGCTGAGGTCGGTTCCCCTCATCAAGGTTTGTCTTATTTTCTTAGATAATTGTTTTTCAACCAATGTAGAATATCTAATCGGTTACTTAACGTCTTTTTTTTGTTTGTAACATTTTCTTTAGACATGGAATTTGCCGGGTTTGATCGTGAAGCAGAGTCGGATGATGAGGTCATGCTCAACCGGCTAGACTTGGAGCTTCAGGCCTCACCCTTCCCTTCTCCCCCTAAAGTGCCAGACACCCCAGGAACGACAAGTGCCCAGTGTACACCCTACAATGAGCATTTCCAGGGAAAGGCGGGCAAGTCCTCCAGTGATGTATTCGAGGAGGACCGGCCAAATTCTTCTATGATCCCCGATGAGCTCCCTCTCAAAGAAGCCCAACCATCCTCTTCCAGGGCAAAGTCCCTGAAAAGAAAGGGCTCTCACAAATCTTCCAAGGGGGGATCCAAGAGAAAGAAGACCAGTCGTCTTTGCTTGGAGGGGGCGTCTATAGAGGAGGCCTTCCTGGCCTTGGGACAGAAACTTCATGAGGTAAGTCCATCTCAACTTTCTTTCCCGGTTACATTTTTTTTGCTCGGTTTTCTTTGTGCCCTCCTAACTTCTTATTTTTTAGGCCGGTGCTCTGTCTGAGGAGATGGGTCAGCTACTCCTCGAGCCTAAGGACCAATTCTCCCACATCCGTCTTTGCGTTCGGCTCAATCCTTGCCTTCTCCTCGCCCTTATCTACCTGCTGGGAGACCAGCTCGATTTATTCGAACTGGCGGGTCATTTTCTTGACCGCTTCCAGGTAACGAGGCCGGACGTTCTTTTGATCACCCCTTTCTTCCTTGATTCCATTGGGAGTGTAGAATTTCATGCACAAGTGTGCCATAGAAATAATGGCCCTGACCTGGTTGATTCCAGGCCTTCCCAGGATGGCATTATGCACGGATTTGATATTGACCACAACAAATCTCATTTGTTTGGTCACTATTTTGTTACCTGACCCCAGGGTAACCGACAAGGTGATTTGCCCTTCCGCTTCTATGCTTGCTCCAGTGAAGCCAGATAATGGAGTCTGTAGTGGCTTTAACATGGACCTGTCAAGTTTTAACTTCTTAAAAGCGTCCAAGTACAAAACATTGACACTGCTTCCGGTGTCAACCAAGACTCTGGCCACATCAGCTCCATTGATGTCCATTGTAATGACCAAAGGGTCATTGTGGTCTTCCCCCGTCTTGGGCAGAAAGTGAAAGTGATAGGCTCTCTCCTTATCTGCTTCCCCTGTGGTTCCATGGAAACCACCGCCACATGTAGACTCCTGCCCAGTTCTTCCGCTGGGAGGCAGTGTCCCCACCTTCTGGGCCGCCAACTATAATCTCGATAACTCCTTCGCTGGTTTGCTATTGTCCTTTCCTCATCTTCTCCCTTGATCCCTCTCCTGAGGACGGGTCCATGTGTTTGCTTACGGGCCCTTCTTAGGCCCTGCCGCATATCCTTCTCCAAGCTCTCCCTTCAAGGCCATCTCCTTGAGCACAGCCTTGGCATTTCGGCTGTCTGCCGTGTTGTGGGAGTCAGATTGGTGGTAGGTACACCACTTCTCTGTCCAAGGCCTCTTCGATTGTTTTCCTTTCTTCTCATCCTTGATTTGATGGACCGTCCCATCATACGTGGCCCTTGGCCTCGACCCTCCCATATGGTCGTCCATCTTCGGCTTCTCAGTCTTTTCCTTCGTATAACCTTCTTCCCGTTCTCGCTTGCTCTTGTTCAAGACCTCCGCCTCGGCATACTCCCATGGTGTATTTTAGGCTTCCTGATAAGAAAAGGGTGGCCTCCTACAAAATTCGTTGTAGAGGTCCCCTGACCGGATGGCATTCATCAGCAGAGACATGGCCGTCTTATCATCCATCTCTTCTACCTTATCGACCTCATCTCTCCATCGAGTTAGAAATTGAGTCAAGGACTCCTCCCTTTGCCCTACCGTGTTAAGGTAGGTGAACTTCTTCCTTTTGATGCAATTGTCCTGGTACTTCTTGCGAAAAATCTCAGCAAGCTTTTCGAAGGATCCGATTTTACCATGAGGAAGGCTATTAAACCATTCCACTGGTCTCCCTCTCAAGGATGAGAAGAACAGTAAGCACTCCTCAAGATCGGTACACCCGGCCATTTGCGCTGCATTATAGAAGGTGTCAAGGTGGACATTTGGATCCTCTTTTCCAGTGAATTTCTCCACATCCAACTTGATCTTCCACCTTAGCTTGTGTGCATGTACCCTAGCCGAGAAGGGTGATTTCGCCAGGGTATGCTTCTTTGCTCCCGCCTTCTCTTCTACTTTTTCATCCAGAGCGCGTAGTTTTCTTGCTACGCTCCCTATCTTGTCCAGGTCATCCTCATCGTATGAGAGCCTAGTGTATGCCGATGCTCTGGGTTGACTTTCAGCCTCCTCCTCGTCTAGGTGAATCGTCTCAAATTCCCTAGAATGACGTGATAAGGCGGAACGACTCCCACCAAGTCTTTCCATCGCGCTAATCCGGCCCATCTCAGGACCAAGACGTAGCTTGGCAGACTTGCGGGGTCCATCCTTTTTGTCCCCCAGGCGTTTAAATGCTGAATCACAGGTTTTGCTGGGCTTGGCTATACCCTTACCCTTCCTTCTGCGGGCTGCCTCTTACTCTGCATCATCGACTTCCTTCGAATTAGCCTGGACATTTGAGGGTGCCGCTTTGTCCATCGCCCCCGTCAAATTCACCAGGCGTACAGGAACTACCCTAGGGATGAATGTTGACGGAGTCAACACTGGGGGTGGCATATGGATCATAATTGGTGGAATCATACCAGGATAGGCAAACGGGCATGAAGCCCCCTGCCTGTTGCATCATGGCCATCACCTGTTGATAGCCCTGTAGAGCCTGAGCATTTGCCGGGTCAGCGGCAAATTGAGATAAGCTTGATGGAAATGGCGAGAATGCTCCACCAGGCGTTGTTATCGAGCCTGGGAACATTGTCGTCGTTGGTATCGGAGTAGGGGTCGACATGATTGGGATCATCCCAAGCGATCCTATCGAGGTGATCGCGGCAAAAGTCGACCCCATGCTCGTTATCATCAGCGGGATGGCGGGAGTGCTTTTACTCGCAACCTGGCTTGAAACAACAATGTGGTTGCTTGAAGACATGATCGTGGATATTTCGTGGGGGTAAAGTTTTGACCTGGTCAAAAAATTTTACAAATCAAGTCCCACGGTCGGTGCCAAAAATGATGGTGTAAATATAATCGGAAAGGCTGACCGGGTCGGACCTGGATGCGGACTCTACTCGTAGTAAGTACACACAATCAGAACACAAAGTATGACCTAGACCGGGTAAAACTCCTCAGTTCGAATTATATTTCTTACTCTATCTCAAGAGTGTACTTTTAGTGAGATAAAGATTGGATCCCCTCCTCTATCTATAATCAACATATTTATAGAGGAGGATATGTAATCTTTCCCCTGTTCATCCATGGACAAAATAGGAAGCTCGTGAGAAGGTCACTGTACATAATAAAATTACTATTCAATCATGGACTTGCCATGAATACAACCAAAACACACTGTTCAATTATTGACTTTAAGAGAAGATCTTCATCCAATCATCCCTGACAAATATTCCTTTTACTGTTTGCCTCGTGAAGGATGAGCGGCGGGGTGGTCCCTTGAGCTTTGATGTGGATCCAGAGGCGGATCTATTAAGAGTCCCATGGGGTCCCGGGACCCCACGGACCCCGATGTAGGTCCATATGTGTATTAGGTTTAAATTGAGATTCTATATAAATAAATGAAGCCTGCGAAAAACAATGTGCCGAGATAGTCCAGTGGAAGCGCTGGCTCCCCACCAACTAGGTAAAGCCGCGTTCGAATCTTGGGCTAGTTGTTTTCTTGGCCAGCATGAGTACCAGTTCATTTTTTGGGGTAATTGGTTTTAATGTTGCTTTCAATATTTTTTTAAATCTTTTGAAAATGAGAATTAGATCTATTGATCATGAACTTTTTTTGTATTTTATTTAGTATTTTACTAATATAATTTACAAATTTAATTAATTGTTAATTTTAGACTTTATAAATTGTTTACAGGTAAGCACTCAAAAAATTTGTTTAAAGACAAATTTTTAGTGTCATTTCAATCGTAAATCTAAAATGTCTCATTAATGATTGTCTCTTAAAATTGAATTTACAATTCTAATATATTTGAAAAAACACTCAAAATGAAAAGAACCAAAGTCTTGTGGAAGTTGTATGGATTTAATACGGAGTACTAATATTTCGGTGTCCCAAGTAAGTACTCAATCTTTACCTATTTAAAAAGATTCAAAAGCCATTTCAATTTTGAATCTTTAGAGGTTGGCTCTCTCTTAAGAAAGAAAATATTTGATGTTCATCTGAGTATTAAAAATAAGATATTTCATAGTTATCTTCAAAAAATGTTTACAAACCTTACTAGAGTAAATTTCTTTCTAAACTAATTAGTGGAAAGAAGCATATTTTTGTTTATTCTTGGTTTGACCAATTGTAAAATGCCTTTGTAAAATACTAGTAATAATTATGATACTATGTATATCTAGGTCACTAAAATTGGATAAAATTGGGGGCCGGGGGTGGGCAGGTCAATCTGGAAACCGAACTCCCAACCAGTTTGGGTTATCCCTTGAAAAACCCTAGAAACCCAAATTGACACAGAAAACTCGCAACCTGGCGGCCAAGCTGATTCTTTGTTGCTTAGGGTTTAAACATTGATTTAAATAGAAAATATTTTTTGAGTTTATTTCTAAAAGATACGAAGTATGAATTAGCTCAAGGTAAAATCTCAAAGGTAAGAAAATTTAGGACCCCATGGTCGAAAAATCCTGGATCCGCCTCTGTGTGGATCGGCATGCTTAGGAGATTGGACGAATGTTATCCAAGGAGAATAATATGACCGGTCACCTTTCCTCAAAGGTTACCCGGTCATTTCTTGAGCTCAGGACTACGGCCCCGTTCCGTTCAACTTATTTTTTCTTATTTTTTCTTATTCTTATTATAATCAGATGAGATCGAATCAGATCGGATCAAATCAGATTAGATCAGATTCAATCAGATCAGATCATATCAGATCCAACCAGATCAGATCCCATCAAGAATTGTTGTTGTTGTTGTTGTTGTTGTTGTTGTCATCATCATCATTATTATTCTTAAAAATGAAAAAGAATAAACTTTAGAAACAAGTTAAATAAAAAACTGAGAAAACAATCCTTAATTATTAGACGTCGAAAAAATTATTTTAAAAATACATTCACAATGTCAATCTAGTTCTACTTTTAAAATACATTTTTATTGCTACCTGTAATATGAGTTTCTAAAGGTTTGATCTTTTATAAGGATGAGATATTTTAATAAAAATAATATCTCTTCTAGATATTGAATATTTAAATTTAATTACGTTTTAATGTATATATAAATTAAATATTTATTCTAATTAGACCTGTGCAAATAAGGATCCGGCTGGATCTGGGCCGGGCTTGATATAAATTATTAGCCCATTTACATGGGCGGGCCTGACCCGGCCCGGATTTGATGGGCTAAATTCTTTGCCCATACCCGCCCATCTTTGCGGGCCGGACTGCCCACCGGGCCGCCCGGCCCGTGTAAAACATCAAAAAAAAATTTGTACAAAAAATTTAAAAATAAAACATTGAATTCTTTTTTAATGTTTAAAGTAAAATAATGAGTCACCACATTTATATAAAAAACATAATAGAGATATTGTTTCATATTTAATAAACTCATCATATTGATTCATTAAAAGAGTATTGATTTTTGTTTAAAGAGGTGAGTGAATTAAACCATTATAAAAAAATTTTAAATTTATATTTGCTAGGTAATTAATAATAAAATAAATATATTTGATGAATAAGGGCGGGCCTGTTGGCCCGGATGGGCTAAAAGTGATTTCCAAATCCGCCCATATATAATTCGGGCTTGGGCCAGCCCGCCCATTTGGGCATTAAAGGTTGTCCATATCCGCTCTTTTTGAAGGGCGGGCTGGGCGGGCCGAACAGGCCGACCCTTGTTTGCACAGGTCTAATTCTAATGTATATATGAAGTACTCCCTCCGTCCCCCTGTATTTGTCCACTTTCATTTTTGCACACCATCCAATGCACTTCTTTAATCCATTTTATCTTGTAATTTGTATATTAAAAAATTATAAAAATTATATATTAATAATCTATATGTTAAGACAAATCAAACAAGATCACACATGACTATATTTAGGCTTACACATTGAGAGAATTTGATGAGTCAAAGTGCTAAGATGAACAGTTCCAAAAGTCAAATGTGGACAAATACAGGGGGACGGAGGGAGTAATTATTAAAATATTAAATCAATATTCTAATTTCACAAAAAAATAATCATAAAATAAAAAATATTATTACATTATAATATGAATGATTATTCTTATATATGAATTAACTAATTTTATTTTATTAAAAAATAATCATAAAATAAAAAATATTGATTATATTATAATATGAATTATCATTACAATTTTCAAATGTTATTATAAAGTCAAATCAAATTATTAATTTGAATTTTAAATCAAATCATAATTAATCAGATAAGATCAGATCAGACCAAATCAGATCCAATCAGATCAGACCAAATCAGATCAGACCAGATCAGATCCAATCTGATCAGATCAGATCCAAATAGATAAGATCACAGCAGATCAGATCTAATCAGATCAGAACTTATTAAAATCAGATCAGATCAGAAAAAATAAGTTGAACGGAACGGAGCCTACCTCTTGGTCTTTCGTAGCATCCTTCGTGACATTTTTTGGCTATCGCTCGAAATGTGACCAGTCACTTTTTGAGGAAACTGACCGGTCAACTTTCGGCCCGTCTCTTTCGAAGAGTTTGTCTCATTTTGTAGTCAACATATTTTGACCGGTCAACTTTTGACCTGTCACTTTGGACATTCGGGCCGGGTATGAGTTATACCTATCAGTGCTTAAGTTTTTTTCGGTTCATAAAGTTTTTTCTTCTTTTACTTTTGAAATTGCTTATTTAATCTGTTTTTCCCCTGTTTTTTGTGAAGAATTTATTAATTTAAATTTTTTTACTAGGTGTGTGATTGAAGCATAAACATATGGGCGTAAACATTTAAATGAAACTTTGGTGTAAACATTTAATGGAAACTTGAAAAAGAAGATTGAGATCTTAATCATAACCAAGCGCACAAAGTTGTGAATATGAAAAAAATTGAAAAAAATGGGCATAATAATGTTATAAATAAATATGGACAATGAAGTAAAATAATTGTGAAATTTGCACTAAATAGGACTAAAACATAATGACTTTCCTAATCTAGGACTTAAACCTTTTTATTCCCTAAATAGAATTTATTAATGTCTTAGTTAGAAGAATAATGTCCAGTAATGATGGACATTACTTGAATAATGACTAATTCATAATGACCAAAAGTCCTACATTGGGAAATAAAAACATATGGTCCTATATTGGGAAAGTCATTATGTTTTAGTCTATTTAAGTAAATTACTCAAAATAATTAGGGGAGAATTTATGTAAATATTACTAAAATATAATGACTTTCCCTAAATAACATCACATGTGTTTTTTCCCAATGTAGCACTTTTAGTCATTATCCATTAGTCATTATTGAAGTAAATATTCACCATCATTGGACATTATGGACATTATTAAGTGCTATTTAGGAAATAAAACAATTTAAGTGCTATTTAGGGAAATGACTTAAGTTTTAGTGCTATTTAGAGAGTCACATACAAGAAAGGTTGCATTGATAGATGAGTAGAAATCATCCTAAATAGAACTAAAATATAGATAGAAGTATCAAAATAGGACTTTCATGTTCTTTTCCCCAAAATAGGACTTTGCACTGTGGTAATGTAGCAGTGTACATGTGCACATTACTATACTTTTTTGGTAACGTATATGACCATGTTTGGTCATGTAAGTCTTATTTCGGGAATAAAAACATGGAAGTCCTATTTTGGTATAATTTCAATGTTTTAGTCCTAGTTTGATCTTTCTTCCATAGATGAGTCCATTAGAGAGGAAGAAACAAAGACTATAGATTCAAACGTTTCATTGTGCAAATATAACAAATGTGACAATACAAAATGCAAGCAAGAGGGATTTTGAGATTCAATCGGTGCATCAATATATAGGGAAACAAAATGAAACGGATGAAATAATGCAAATACTGATAAACGAAATGAAACTTAAGCTTGATGAACTATTTTCTTTGAAAAATGCAATAACATAAGAGGAATAAGAAATACAGTAAAAAATAAGTATGGCTTGAGACGAAAATAGGCAAAATGCACCCATGATGCTTCATAGTTGTATTAAAATAAAATAAAAGTTGAAACAAAAAGGCATATATATTACAGAGTATGTACATAGTTTTGATTACAACTGACGGAGGATAACCCCATGTCAGCCTAGTATTGCACCAAAGGCTCGACCCCACATCCGGGTAAGCTCTAAAAAGGGACTAGATGGTCTTTGGCCTCGGCTCGGGGGGGGGGGGGGGGGG